AGTATACCTTCATGAACCATTACCTTTGTTTCACTCTTCTTTTCAGCCTCATAATTTCTCATAATTTTATCTTCTACATCAGTAATTTACTCCTCTGCCTCGTCCATCCTCACTGCCATGGCATCTGTTTGGGTTTGCATTTTGGTTATAGCATTTTTAATTTTGGCCTGACTAGAATTTAGCTCTTTTATCTCTGCAGTAAGGGATTCTCTAGTGTCTTCTGTGCTTTTTTTCAAGCCCAGCTAGAATCCTTATAATTGCTGTTTTAAATTCTGAGACATGTTATATCTTTATCGATTAAATCCCTGCCTGTCATTTCTTCCTATTCTTTCTTTTGGGGTGAATTCCTCTGTCTTTGCATTTTGAAGGAAGAAAAAATAATAAAATAAAAATTAAAAAAAAATTAAAGGAAGCTAGATCCTAGGTGTGCTTTGGTCTGCTTAAGAGGAGCTTGATAGAAAAAAGGAAAAAGAAAAAAATTGTAATTAAAATAAAAAATAAAATCAAATAAAAAATTTGCTGCTTCTGTATCTAAGAAAAAGAATAGACACACACAAAATGAACAAATGAACAAACAAGAAAAACCCAAATGAATTTATATAGTTTCCCCTAGAGCTGAAACTTTGTAGCACTCTGCAATCAGTAGTTCTAGGTGTGGAGGTGATTTGTACTAGTCTTCTGGAGGAGGGCCTGTTGCTCTAAATTTCAGGTCAACTTGCCCTAGTGGGGATGTGCCTGGAAGGCACAGGTGGCGGGGCTTGGTGCAACAGTTCCATTCTCCACTTGGTGGCACTGTTTAACTCACTGGCGTCTATCAGTATTGGTGTGCTAATGGTAAAAATGGTTTCTCCCCGCTCTCTAGTCTCCAGAGTGGGAATTTCATGCCATCACAGACATGCAATCAGTTACCCCTCTTGTGTCCCTTGCTTCTGTCAGCTCCGCGCCTTCCCTGTTTGTGTCCAAGCTGTCCACCTGTCAGGCATGCCTGTGTTTCATAACCCCACACTTCAGAGACCCCTGTGGCTCTGTCCTGCACTGATACTCTGGGGGAGGATTTTGCCTTGCCATGGATGGTACAGTCTTGTCCCAGAAAATGTTCATGCAGTCACTCAGCAGCTCAGAGTTTATGGTATATCTTGCAACACACAGCTGGAGCCAGGTTTTGCTGCCCTTTGCTGCTAGCTGTCCTTGTTCCTATACAGGTGAACAGGGAAGCTCTTTGGTGCCTGCAGGGTCTTTGCCCCACAGAGAGTCTGTATTGCCTCTACGAAATGTACTCCAGACAGGGAAACTGCTTCTCCCTGTGCCACCCAGGGGACCCTCAGACTGCTTCCGTCTCCTGGCTTCCTCACCTGATCACCACCAGGTGCTGACCTCCAAACTTTAGATTTTACACTCTGCTGTTTTTAAAAGCTGGCGCTATTGAGACCCTTTCCTTTTCCCCTGTCAGTGGTTTTGGGGAATGGTTTTCTTATGCAGTCCCCTGTGTATTTTTCATGCTTTCTTTCTAGCTACTTTCAGGGGGAGTGCATTTCTTTTTAAATGTTTTTTTTTTAATGTTTAGTTTTGGAGGAGAGAGAGACAGACAGACAGAGTGTAGGCAGGGGAAGGGCAGAGAGAGAGGGAGACACAGAATTCAAAGTAGGCTCCAGGCTCTGAGCTGTCAACACAGAGCCCAACGTGGGGCTCGAACCCACGAACCGGGACATCATGACCTGAGCCAAAGTCAGACTTAACCAACAGAACCACCCAGGTGCTCCTGGGGGAGTGCATTTCTTGCATGACTCTGGCATGCTGCTCAGTCTCCCCCTCGCTCCCCACGTCCTCTCTGCAAAAAGGGCCTGTTCCCCTCTGTGGCATGGGTGCTCTTCTCTCCCCCAGTTCACCTCTCCACACCACATACCTTCAGGTTTTCTCTCCCAAATTATGCATATTGTTCTGTTAATCCTCAGATCAATTTCCTAGGTGTTCAAAATGGTTTGATGTTGGTCTAGCTGTGTTCAAGTGATGAGACATGCTCAGAGTCCTCTTACTATGCCATTTTAACTCCTCCTCTCCTTTTTTTAAGTTTATTTATTTTGAAGGAGAAAGAACGGGAACACCAGCAGGGGAGGGGCAGAGAGAGAGGGAAAGAGAGAGAATCCCAAGCAGGCTCCACACTGTCAATGTGGAGACTGATGCAGGGCTCGAACTCAAACTAAATCCAGAGTTGGATGCTTAAATGACTGAGCCACCCACATACTCCTATCATTTTGTTTTTAAGTTTTTTTAGGGAGACTTTTTTGAGAGGTAGAAGGGCAGAGTGATTAAGCATATGATTCTGAAGCTAGGCTGCCTGGTTTGAAATACTATGTTATATTAGCTCTCTGACTTGTGTTAATTAATTTCTCTGTGTCTCATGTTTTAATCTGTAAAATGGGGATAATAATATTACCCACCTACTAGAGATTTGTGGGAAATAAATAATACATATAGCCCTGTGTCAGGCTCTGCGCTGACAGTGCAGAGCCTGCTTGGGATTCTCTCTCTCCCTGTCTCTCTGCCCCTCCTCTCTCTCTCTCTGTCTCTCTCTCTCTCTCTGTCTCTCTCTCTCTCTCTCTCTCTCAAGATACATGATAAATAAACTTAAATACATACATACTTGTAAATTTCTTATAGCAGAACTTGATGTGTAGTAAATGCTCAGTAATTGATAGATTTTTTTGTTGTTGGTAAAATGCATTTAACCAAAATACCATCTTAAACATTTCTAGGTGTACAGTTCAGTGGTATTAAATCCATTCACATTTTGTTGTACAGCCATCGCCACCATCCACCCACAGAACTCTTATAAAACAGAAACTGTACTTAAAAAAAAAATAACTCCTCCTTTCCCAAATTGAACCAATGGTTGAGTGCCTTCTGAACTGGATATAAAAATATAACATTCAATAAAATCAGATTTTTGTCTTCAAAGGGCTTTCTTTCCACATTAGGACGAATATCAAACAGGATGTGATGATACGGTATTTGGTTCAGACTAAGTACTTAGCATTGATAGGATGGGGGGAATTGTTTCATGCTGAATAATCATAAAGGGCATGGTAGATGAAGTAGCATTTTGTTGGGCCTTAAGAAAATAATAGATTTTGACTTGGATTGTGAGGGCAGCCATTGAAGACTAAAACAGATTCAGAGGCAGGATAGTTCAGCTTGTGTTTTATAGGAACGAGATATGATTCAAGCTAATTGGTTTATTTGTTACAGTGCTTGTCTCTATAACACAAATTAGCTTATGTAATTGGTAAATATGAGTTTGATGGTAAATTGGAGAGGTGGCATTAGTTCAAACATAATCTTTTCCAACATGGTAACATTTTATAACAATCAAGAACAAACTTTCTCACAATTAAAGAGAAAGCCTTAGTAATATGAGAAAATATTAAGGAAAAATCTGAAAATCCTGCAGAAGCGTTATCTTTCAGTGAAAATGGTGGTTGAAGGAATGGCTTCAAGAACGGTTCCATATTCCACAAGTGTTAAACTGTCTGGTGAAGCTGTAACTACAGAAAAGAAGCTGTGAATTCATTTCTCTTTGCATTATGAACTTACCTGAAAACATCTACATCTTAGATTATATTTTTAACTCCACTGAAATTGGTCTTGAATAGAAGCAAATGCCCTCAAGAACCCATATCACAGGGACACCTGGGTGGTTCAGTCTGTTAAGCATTCAACTCTTGATTTCAGCTCAGGACATGATCTCACAGTTGATGAGTTCGAGCCCTGCATCGGGCTGGGCTTTGTGCTGACAGAGCGTGGAGACTGCTTGGTATTGTGTCCCTCTCTCTCTGCTCCGCCCCACTTTGCTCTCTCTATCTTTCTCAAAATAAATAAAAATAAACTTAAAAAAAAAAAAGATCCATATCACAAATGAAGGAGCAGGAGTTCCAGGGTTTCAGGCTTCAAAGGATCGAAGACCATAATGCTAGGTGCAGATTCAAGTGGAGATTTAATTGTGCAGATATTTCGATAAGGACTTGTTATGTTAGTTAAGGCTTTGATTACAAAGTTATACTGATTTTGAATAGTTTGCCTTAACTCTGTTTTTCCCATGAGTTGTGTTATTTTTAGTTATGATTTTCTAGAACTCAAGGCTTGTTTTGTTTTGTTTTGTTTTTCCCCTTAAATGTTCAATTCACATTCTAGCAGAAAGGGCTCTGACACCTTGTAAAAGAAGGAAATTCATAAAGGAATTGTTACCCTAAATTTTCAGTAATTTTTCTGACAAGATCTTGCCATGGTCATTGAAGTTCATTACAATTCTTGAAATGTATATACTGTATTTTCATTCACTAATTTCAAATTGAAAATGTTCCGATTTTAATTTAGTTAATTTCAATTAACTTAATTTTAAAGGAAGTGCTGTTTGGCTGTGCTTGGGTGGTGAATTTATCTCATTAAAATATTGCACACAAAGTTAGGTCAGACAAACTTACCTTTTGAAGGGCTATCATGATGTTTGCATAAATTTACTAACATGGAAGATGCTCACTAACTCCTAAAAGTCATTCTCTTACATAAAGAACTAGCTGCTTTCTTGGAATTTGGGGCCACAGTTGAATATATAGAATTCCTGGTAACTAGAGGAGTCCCAAATGGGTTTGATCTCTTCACTTTTTTAAAACAGAGGGTAGTCCTTTAAATCATTTAGTCTTGCTGAAGCATTTATGTCAGGAAGATTTTGATTGGAAATATCTTTAGCATTCTATTCTTACTGACCATTACAAAGTACAGCCTATTTCTACTTTGGAGCAAGTAAGACCAGTGAACTTCAAGGCTTAGCTGGTATTACTTTTACAAAGACAGAAATCTATAATTTAAAAACTTTGTTACTGATACGATTTATATTTCCCTCCATGTCTTTGTACACACTTTTGTAAAAATGTGTTTATGCTGTGGTGCTACTTAACATCTGGGGATCTTTTACTTTTGAAATAAAAACATTTTTTTGATTACAGAAAGACCCAAGTGGGACCACTAGTTTGTCAACTGGAAGTTCTCTTCTACAAGAAATTGAAGTACAGAATGAAGAAGTAGCTGCTTTTTGTCAATCCATTACAAAGTAAGGAATTTTTCTTTATAAATTAAAGATTTTTTAAAATTAAATACTTGCTTTTAAAAAGTTAACTTGAAAACAAGCTTAATACTAATCATTCTAAAATTAAAAAAAAAATTAATTATTTTCTCCCTGTGGCTGAAATTTCAAGACCACTAATTGGCACATTAACACCAACTACAGTTGAACCTATATCCTTACCTCTTAGGTTTGTAAGTATTTAGAAGAAAAAATGAGTTCAGATGGAGGACTTCTGATTCTATCAACCAGTGAAAATATGGCTTAAACATATATAAGCTTTGGTACACTCAGAAAATACCTGTTTTTGTTTTTTAGGGAGACTTAATACCCTGAAAACTTTCTAGCTTCAGAATCTGTGTCTTCCTCTCTCTCTGCCCCTCACCTGCTCACACTCTGTCTCTCTTTCTCTCTTTATCTCTCTCTCTCTCAAAACAAAAACAAAAACAAAACAAAACAAAAAACCCCAGAAAAAAACAAAACACTCTTTCAGGGGTATGTGGTTGGCTCAGTCAGTGAAGTGTCCAACTCTTGGTTTCAGCTCAGCTCATGATTTCACTGGTTCATGAGGTCAAGCCCCACATGGGGCTCTGCACTGGCAGCTCAGGGTCTGCTTGGGATTGTCTCTCTCCCTCTCTTTGCCCCTTCCATGCTCGTGTGTTCTCTCAAAATAAATAAATAAACATTAAAAAAAAAAAAGAATCTCTTTTAAAGTATCATAATGCTGTGATTCAGCACATTTTATTATTACTACATTTTTCTGGTTTTTATTTCCTGTTTTCTTTCCTTTTCCCACTTATCATAGTTGACAAAGCTTGCTGTATCTGCTAGTTACATAGTTCTAGAGAAAGTTATTAGAATTTTAGATACCAAAGGTTTTGCCGCTTCATTTGTGGTTTCCTAGCATGATAGGATGAGAAGCTACACTTCACACTTGTCATTCTAAGTAGCCTACTGGTTCCTTTTTTCCCTATATATTTCAGATCTAGTATTTATATCCTACAATAGTGTCTCGATCCCAAGGACTCCCTGTGTATTTTCGAGGACTTTACCTCTGCATTTAGATAATTTTATTCTAAACAATGCTGATTTTCCTTTCCTATAAAGTAGTGTCTATTCCTTTTTTTTTTTTTTT